GGCAGAGCCAGCTGTCACTCACGCAGCTGGGTGGATCCAGACAGCAATGTCGGGATCCTTTCCGGCTGTGGCGTCTCAGTATACCGCGAGCTGTAGCTTGCGGTATACTGAGCTTTGGGTGACGGGAGGACTCTAGGTTGTGTCCTCCCATAGTTCTCCTTTAAGGTAAACTTTAAAGAAGAAAAATGCTTGTTAAATCACACAGGAAACCGAACACATTGCACTTGGTCCGGTTCAAATCTGTGCAGTGGTTTTGAAATAAAATAACATTTCTATTTCTGGCAATCCTGGCTGTGGCTCCAACACAGACTGAAGCCCAATTTATGGGTGTTTCTATGGGGGAGCTACAGTTAGCACTGAAGCCAACTACCCTTATTTATTGTGCAGCCCTCCATGTCATATTGCAACCCTGTGCCTCCTCTGCCACCTTCTTTGTACTGACAGAACAGACTGAACCTAGACCCAGTGACCAGCTAATCAGGAGAGAGACCACAGCAGTAGCTGGTGTAGTAGCTGGGGACGTGTGTTGTGCTTGTGGAATGCCGGTGGCTGGAGAGGAGCACTGTCACTCACAAAAACACAAGCCCAGAGCAAGAAAAGCCAGCTAATACATTAGTCTCTCTCAGACAACGGCACTCAGACCTGACCACCAGCTTTTCAGAAGAGAGAGGCTAGAGTAGTAGCTGGTGGCATGTGTTGTTTAGTGTTTTTGTGAATGATGACACACCACATCACAAGTTGACAGTTACTACTCCCCTCGCTCTCCCCCGAATAGCTGGGGGTGGATCTGGGCTCAATCTTCACTACAAAAAAGGTAGCAGAGGAGAGCAAAAAAGGCACAGAGCTGCAATACACAGCAGAGCCTCAATCTGGCAATTTAGGAGGTGAGACAGGTATTTTGCAGACTGTGTGCACCATCAGTCACACCCCCTGTCCTCCTGCGCTGTCATTCACTGATTGGTATTTGTCTCTTTGCTTGCAATGTGGTCAGAAAGAGGTGGGAGGAGAGGAACGAGCCATCCGATCATACTGATCAGCAACCACAGCACATATTTAAATGGGACCCAGTGCAATGAGCACTGGGTCCCCTGAGGGATTCAACAAACATTTTCAACTTCTGGTGATATTTCTTTTTTTAACCAAACCCGGGCACTTTAAACTGAGCATAGGATGAGAAACTGAAATAGCATATCCTGCAAAAGGCCAGCTTGCTCTTCAATATCCAACCCCTGAGACCCCGTACATCCCTCTGCTTATGCATTGTCATACCATATGCTCAGTTTGAATTTCTTGATTTTGTGCAATGATGATAATGATTGTAATTTTGAGGCTCTATAAGATATCTATTGAAATGAACAAGAAAATAAATTACATGAGATATGGCGGAGAAAAACTACTGGGAGAGAAATAAGGATTATTCAGAACAAAGGCTTTGAAAAGTTAAATTACAATGTTATGCAAAAAATGACCATTCCATCTAGAATTGGCCTCATTGTGCTTTAAACCATTCAAGACTCAATCAGTCTTTATCTCAGCAGTCTAAATGAGATGCTGAGTAAGAATAGCAAGCAGTTTGGTCACATGATGACTATAATTTAGCAGAATGCGTGGGTTCAGATCACTTGCTAGGCACAGAGTTAAACTGTACAGGTGCCTGCAGTGTGTTGATCGGATTATGTGACTGGACACCAAAAGTTGTTTTGTTGGCTATTGATGGGGAATGTTTATGTACAGCAGGTGCTTAGGAATGGACAAGATGCCACCTACCTCTGCCCTCTTCACCGTAGGCAAGATGTGGTGGAATTGTTATCCGACGTCTTTCACCGACACAAAGGCCCAGCAAACCTTCATCCATGCCAGAAATCACATAACCCTTCCCAATGTATGTGTTATAAGTGCGATTTCGGGAATAACTGCAATCAGAAAAGCGTTTTGTCAGCATTAAAAGGTATACTGTGTATATCTAAGGTGCCCGTAAATATGAGATGAGGAAAACATTATGGAGTGTCTGTGGGTATCCCGCAAACTGTGCAGACCCCCTGATCTCAGACAGTCCCATTGTAAAACCAGTGGCAGGGATGTCTGGTCAGTATGTGTCTGTGGACAGTCAGCTCCTCTGACCACCATCTTATTCCTTTCACTGCTCTTTACTAGACTAGACTGAAGGAAAAGTGAGAATTTAATCTAAGCAAATAAAAGAATATAAGTGATGATGGAGGCAAAGATGACCCCCAAAAATAAATGGGTGGACTGGTGCAATGTAGCAATGCTTGAGTGCAACAACTGAATTTACAAGTAGGCAGCCTGTGCTCTCTGTATATATCTCTTGAGGTTTACATTTCAGTTCTGAGATAAAGAAGAACTTCAGGTTGTAGAAAAATTAACCCTTGCACTGGGGCTACCCCCTCGCTGCAAGGGTTAACTGCTCTTTTTTCCCGCTAGGGGCTCAAATAAAGAAGACATACTCACACGATCATTGATCCCACCTGGCTCCTAGACTGGTCCACGCAGCCTCTTCTCCCCAGGGCTTCGGCAGTCTAAGCCCCGCAGATGTCATCACTTCTAGTACAGTTCATTCGCCCGTATTAGGTGTGAGGACACCGAGGGATTTACCACAGTTAGAGCGGAGGGGGAGAGAGGTGAGTGGTTACTGCATTTACCCTTGTACTGCCAGGGTAGCCCCACTGCAAGGGTTAATTTTCCTACAACCTGGAGTTCTTCTTTAAGTATACTTTACATACCAAATCCAGATAAAAAGATTTTCCTGTCTTTTGGTTTGAAAAGGGAAACGTTATAAGCTCTGTCATGTTTTTATTGTCGTTTGTGTCCATTTTAGGTGAGGTGACCACAGAGGACATTTCCCAAAAGTTGACCAAGCAATGAAACCGGAACAATGTGCTCCTCTTTCCTCTCTCCACCGTACAATATGTTTTATTGCTGCCTGTGGCCTTATGTGGGAAATGTATGTCACTTCCTGCCTTCGAGACCACACAGGAAGTGAGGAAAACAACTCTCCAATGGCTACAGGAACAGCAATAGAAACCTGACAGACCATTTTCACCTCCAGAATTCAAAATATGTTTAGCAATACTGTAATACCTCTTATAAGACACTGAAACCTGACCAATACCTGGAAATAAAAAGCTACAGAACAGAAAAAAAACTTGCTGTACTCAATTCGAATAGAAATGACAAATATTATCACAGCGCCATCTATTGTGGACGACAGACTCAGTAAGTGAATTGCTAGGACACGCAGGAAAGTAAAATGTATCTAAACCTGAGAACAAAAATGTCATACATCGCAGCTTACCAGTCCTTAGATGTGGTGGCTGCATTAGTTGTCTTTTTATCAGGTGTGTTGTCTTCATTTTTACCTGGTGATCCTGCCAGTAGCACACTTCCTGTGTTAGGTGGCCATAGACCTTACAACCAGCGCAAGACTTTTGTCTTGCGCTGGATGTAAGGTAATAAAAAAAACGAACGATCTGCCCATCGTGGACAGGCAGATCATACTTGTGATCATCGCAAGTCTGCCTCCCCGATGGTCGGGCTTCCGATGACGGCAATGCTGAGCAGGCAGTGTGCGCTTGCGCACACCGGCCCGTTCGGCATTTGTCTCCCAAGGATGCCACAAACCCGCCGACAATCGTACGATTCTTGGCGGGTTTTCAAACATGCTCTTAAGACAAAAGTCGTGCGACCGTACAGTAGCGGAGGTCGCACGCCTTCCATACACCTTGCGATGATCGCGTGATTTCTCGCGATTATCGTACGATAATCGCAAGGTGTACTGGTGCCTTTAGGGTGACAATGATCACTCACTGTACTGCATTTATGGAGGAGCAACATGATCACCCTAGGACAAGAAGTGTGTCAAGACAACAAAACACCTCCCCTCATCTCTATAACAGAGAGAGTGTCGTGTAGTCCACAGAGAGAATTCAGCAAGGGCCGATACCAATGTTTAAGATTTTGAGGCAGTATTTCTGCACACTACAGGCAGTAAGGAGCTCACTGTATTTCTGGCAGGATTAACAGGTATGTTTGCACTTATTGAACAGATGTAACAAAATGCTTTCAATAGTTATGTAACAAACGCCCATTTTGTCAGACTCGGGTAGTCATTTTACACACCTGGAGTCAAAAAAAGTTCCATCCAGCAGTGTTCCATTATAATGGTATCTGATGTAGTCACCGGCCTGTGTCTTCCTCTCACAGTTGTCTGGCATATATTGGACCTCTGATGTGATGCCATCTTTAGGATTGTGCAAATCTAACAAGACAACATCAAAGGCAAGGGTTGCCTTGGGCGGGATATCTTTACCTAGAAATAAGGACATATACATAAAACTAAGAGCATAGCTAGAAATAATCTTTGCATCAAACTCAGGAAATTGAGAAGGCCTGAAATCTACGTAAAATTTATGTTTATGATGCAGTATTAATCAGCGTTAGTCTACAGCTCCAGGAGTACTGAAACCCATTGTTAAAGGCAAAGTCCACCTTATTTAATAAAAATAATAAATGCACACATACTAATAAAAGAAAATGTGAATCTTTTATTTATTTTTGCATTGGAGCCAGTAAAGCATTCCAACCACAATCAGTGGATCACGGGCGCAATGCTCTGGCTCTTGCAGACTCTTCCTCCCGTCCATGTCCGTACCAAGATTCAGGCATCCAGTAACATGGATTGGAGGAAGAATGAATGGACTACAAGTGCATGGCAGACGGGACTTGTAGCTTCTCCACTGACAGATCCCGTCAAAGGATCCGTGAATGGAATACACAGCTTTGTGGGCGGAGCCATGCACATCCACGCTATTTTCAAAGTGCAGCAGCAGCCTGTAGGGAGATAAACCCCACGATTCATGTAAGTGAGGGGTGGGATGGGAGTGTGAGGGTGGCCATGTGACCATGTTACACCCTGAATCATGGTCTAAAAGGTAAACTTAGCCTTTAAGGCAAAAGAAAAACATTGATACTGATTAATTAAAACATGCGTTGCTCTGATAACCAGCCTTGGGTCTGTGGTCTGTAATGGAATATTCCACCAAATAAGTACCACCAAAAATAATGTTTTTTCCCCCATGGATAACAGATTAAACGAGTGTCAGGCAGCTGCTGGTTCCCAGGTCCGATCCTCCAGCGCTGACTGTCAAAACGGACGGAGGAGAGGGCGGGCACAACTGGCTCTGCCTCTAGATAGGCAGAGCCAGCTGTCACTCACGCAGCTGGGTGGATCCAGACAGCAATGTCGGGATCCTTTCCGGCTGTGGCGTCTCAGTATACCGCGAGCTGTAGCTTGCGGTATACTGAGCTTTGGGTGACGGGAGGACTCTAGGTTGTGTCCTCCCATAGTTCTCCTTTAAGGTAAACTTTAAAGAAGAAAAATGCTTGTTAAATCACACAGGAAACCGAACACATTGCACTTGGTCCGGTTCAAATCTGTGCAGTGGTTTTGAAATAAAATAACATTTCTATTTCTGGCAATCCTGGCTGTGGCTCCAACACAGACTGAAGCCCAATTTATGGGTGTTTCTATGGGGGAGCTACAGTTAGCACTGAAGCCAACTACCCTTATTTATTGTGCAGCCCTCCATGTCATATTGCAACCCTGTGCCTCCTCTGCCACCTTCTTTGTACTGACAGAACAGACTGAACCTAGACCCAGTGACCAGCTAATCAGGAGAGAGACCACAGCAGTAGCTGGTGTAGTAGCTGGTGACTTGTGTTGTGCTTGTGGAATGCCGGTGGCTGGAGAGGAGCACTGTCACTCACAAAAACACAAGCCCAGAGCAAGAAAAGCCAGCTAATACATTAGTCTCTCTCAGACAACGGCACTCAGACCTGACCACCAGCTTTTCAGAAGAGAGAGGCTAGAGTAGTAGCTGGTGGCATGTGTTGTTTAGTGTTTTTGTGAATGATGACACACCACATCACAAGTTGACAGTTACTACTCCCCTCGCTCTCCCCCGAATAGCTGGGGGTGGATCTGGGCTCAATCTTCACTACAAAAAAGGTAGCAGAGGAGAGCAAAAAAGGCACAGAGCTGCAATACACAGCAGAGCCTCAATCTGGCAATTTAGGAGGTGAGACAGGTATTTTGCAGACTGTGTGCACCATCAGTCACACCCCCTGTCCTCCTGCGCTGTCATTCACTGATTGGTATTTGTCTCTTTGCTTGCAATGTGGTCAGAAAGAGGTGGGAGGAGAGGAACGAGCCATCCGATCATACTGATCAGCAACCACAGCACATATTTAAATGGGACCCAGTGCAATGAGCACTGGGTCCCCTGAGGGATTCAACAAACATTTTCAACTTCTGGTGATATTTCTTTTTTTAACCAAACCCGGGCACTTTAAACTGAGCATAGGATGAGAAACTGAAATAGCATATCCTGCAAAAGGCCAGCTTGCTCTTCAATATCCAACCCCTGAGACCCCGTACATCCCTCTGCTTATGCATTGTCATACCATATGCTCAGTTTGAATTTCTTGATTTTGTGCAATGATGATAATGATTGTAATTTTGAGGCTCTATAAGATATCTATTGAAATGAACAAGAAAATAAATTACATGAGATATGGCGGAGAAAAACTACTGGGAGAGAAATAAGGATTATTCAGAACAAAGGCTTTGAAAAGTTAAATTACAATGTTATGCAAAAAATGACCATTCCATCTAGAATTGGCCTCATTGTGCTTTAAACCATTCAAGACTCAATCAGTCTTTATCTCAGCAGTCTAAATGAGATGCTGAGTAAGAATAGCAAGCAGTTTGGTCACATGATGACTATAATTTAGCAGAATGCGTGGGTTCAGATCACTTGCTAGGCACAGAGTTAAACTGTACAGGTGCCTGCAGTGTGTTGATCGGATTATGTGACTGGACACCAAAAGTTGTTTTGTTGGCTATTGATGGGGAATGTTTATGTACAGCAGGTGCTTAGGAATGGACAAGATGCCACCTACCTCTGCCCTCTTCACCGTAGGCAAGATGTGGTGGAATTGTTATCCGACGTCTTTCACCGACACAAAGGCCCAGCAAACCTTCATCCATGCCAGAAATCACATAACCCTTCCCAATGTATGTGTTATAAGTGCGATTTCGGGAATAACTGCAATCAGAAAAGCGTTTTGTCAGCATTAAAAGGTATACTGTGTATATCTAAGGTGCCCGTAAATATGAGATGAGGAAAACATTATGGAGTGTCTGTGGGTATCCCGCAAACTGTGCAGACCCCCTGATCTCAGACAGTCCCATTGTAAAACCAGTGGCAGGGATGTCTGGTCAGTATGTGTCTGTGGACAGTCAGCTCCTCTGACCACCATCTTATTCCTTTCACTGCTCTTTACTAGACTAGACTGAAGGAAAAGTGAGAATTTAATCTAAGCAAATAAAAGAATATAAGTGATGATGGAGGCAAAGATGACCCCCAAAAATAAATGGGTGGACTGGTGCAATGTAGCAATGCTTGAGTGCAACAACTGAATTTACAAGTAGGCAGCCTGTGCTCTCTGTATATATCTCTTGAGGTTTACATTTCAGTTCTGAGATAAAGAAGAACTTCAGGTTGTAGAAAAATTAACCCTTGCACTGGGGCTACCCCCTCGCTGCAAGGGTTAACTGCTCTTTTTTCCCGCTAGGGGCTCAAATAAAGAAGACATACTCACACGATCATTGATCCCACCTGGCTCCTAGACTGGTCCACGCAGCCTCTTCTCCCCAGGGCTTCGGCAGTCTAAGCCCCGCAGATGTCATCACTTCTAGTACAGTTCATTCGCCCGTATTAGGTGTGAGGACACCGAGGGATTTACCACAGTTAGAGCGGAGGGGGAGAGAGGTGAGTGGTTACTGCATTTACCCTTGTACTGCCAGGGTAGCCCCACTGCAAGGGTTAATTTTCCTACAACCTGGAGTTCTTCTTTAAGTATACTTTACATACCAAATCCAGATAAAAAGATTTTCCTGTCTTTTGGTTTGAAAAGGGAAACGTTATAAGCTCTGTCATGTTTTTATTGTCGTTTGTGTCCATTTTAGGTGAGGTGACCACAGAGGACATTTCCCAAAAGTTGACCAAGCAATGAAACCGGAACAATGTGCTCCTCTTTCCTCTCTCCACCGTACAATATGTTTTATTGCTGCCTGTGGCCTTATGTGGGAAATGTATGTCACTTCCTGCCTTCGAGACCACACAGGAAGTGAGGAAAACAACTCTCCAATGGCTACAGGAACAGCAATAGAAACCTGACAGACCATTTTCACCTCCAGAATTCAAAATATGTTTAGCAATACTGTAATACCTCTTATAAGACACTGAAACCTGACCAATACCTGGAAATAAAAAGCTACAGAACAGAAAAAAAACTTGCTGTACTCAATTCGAATAGAAATGACAAATATTATCACAGCGCCATCTATTGTGGACGACAGACTCAGTAAGTGAATTGCTAGGACACGCAGGAAAGTAAAATGTATCTAAACCTGAGAACAAAAATGTCATACATCGCAGCTTACCAGTCCTTAGATGTGGTGGCTGCATTAGTTGTCTTTTTATCAGGTGTGTTGTCTTCATTTTTACCTGGTGATCCTGCCAGTAGCACACTTCCTGTGTTAGGTGGCCATAGACCTTACAACCAGCGCAAGACTTTTGTCTTGCGCTGGATGTAAGGTAATAAAAAAAACGAACGATCTGCCCATCGTGGACAGGCAGATCATACTTGTGATCATCGCAAGTCTGCCTCCCCGATGGTCGGGCTTCCGATGACGGCAATGCTGAGCAGGCAGTGTGCGCTTGCGCACACCGGCCCGTTCGGCATTTGTCTCCCAAGGATGCCACAAACCCGCCGACAATCGTACGATTCTTGGCGGGTTTTCAAACATGCTCTTAAGACAAAAGTCGTGCGACCGTACAGTAGCGGAGGTCGCACGCCTTCCATACACCTTGCGATGATCGCGTGATTTCTCGCGATTATCGTACGATAATCGCAAGGTGTACTGGTGCCTTTAGGGTGACAATGATCACTCACTGTACTGCATTTATGGAGGAGCAACATGATCACCCTAGGACAAGAAGTGTGTCAAGACAACAAAACACCTCCCCTCATCTCTATAACAGAGAGAGTGTCGTGTAGTCCACAGAGAGAATTCAGCAAGGGCCGATACCAATGTTTAAGATTTTGAGGCAGTATTTCTGCACACTACAGGCAGTAAGGAGCTCACTGTATTTCTGGCAGGATTAACAGGTATGTTTGCACTTATTGAACAGATGTAACAAAATGCTTTCAATAGTTATGTAACAAACGCCCATTTTGTCAGACTCGGGTAGTCATTTTACACACCTGGAGTCAAAAAAAGTTCCATCCAGCAGTGTTCCATTATAATGGTATCTGATGTAGTCACCGGCCTGTGTCTTCCTCTCACAGTTGTCTGGCATATATTGGACCTCTGATGTGATGCCATCTTTAGGATTGTGCAAATCTAACAAGACAACATCAAAGGCAAGGGTTGCCTTGGGCGGGATATCTTTACCTAGAAATAAGGACATATACATAAAACTAAGAGCATAGCTAGAAATAATCTTTGCATCAAACTCAGGAAATTGAGAAGGCCTGAAATCTACGTAAAATTTATGTTTATGATGCAGTATTAATCAGCGTTAGTCTACAGCTCCAGGAGTACTGAAACCCATTGTTAAAGGCAAAGTCCACCTTATTTAATAAAAATAATAAATGCACACATACTAATAAAAGAAAATGTGAATCTTTTATTTATTTTTGCATTGGAGCCAGTAAAGCATTCCAACCACAATCAGTGGATCACGGGCGCAATGCTCTGGCTCTTGCAGACTCTTCCTCCCGTCCATGTCCGTACCAAGATTCAGGCATCCAGTAACATGGATTGGAGGAAGAATGAATGGACTACAAGTGCATGGCAGACGGGACTTGTAGCTTCTCCACTGACAGATCCCGTCAAAGGATCCGTGAATGGAATACACAGCTTTGTGGGCGGAGCCATGCACATCCACGCTATTTTCAAAGTGCAGCAGCAGCCTGTAGGGAGATAAACCCCACGATTCATGTAAGTGAGGGGTGGGATGGGAGTGTGAGGGTGGCCATGTGACCATGTTACACCCTGAATCATGGTCTAAAAGGTAAACTTAGCCTTTAAGGCAAAAGAAAAACATTGATACTGATTAATTAAAACATGCGTTGCTCTGATAACCAGCCTTGGGTCTGTGGTCTGTAATGGAATATTCCACCAAATAAGTACCACCAAAAATAATGTTTTTTCCCCCATGGATAACAGATTAAACGAGTGTCAGGCAGCTGCTGGTTCCCAGGGTGTCATGGTTATCCATAGGTTTCACCACCTGCAAGGACACTGACCTGGAGCAATGACAGCACCTATATGTATATCATGACAGGTTTCCATTGGGTGCTTTGCTGAAAACAATGACACATTTTATCGCAGCAAAGACTCAACTAATGGCAGACCTTTTCTATAGGTGACATCATCCGTTCAGAGAAAGAAAACAAATAATATACATGAATAAATACATTGATTTCTGAATGCTATACCAGGCACATATCCTTTCCTCTACCCTCTAGTCTGTCTAAGGCCACCTTTCTCAATTGGGGTCCCCTCTGGGTTGGTCAGAGGTGTTTATTAGTGCGCCATAACAACCACTGATGCGTGATTAGTCGGCCTTAATGGCATAACTCCCACACATGCACACGGGGGATCTTCATCTCATCATCTCTTTACAATACACACAGGGGCCATGGGGAACAAAAGAATCCCCCCTCCAGAAGGAAGGACAGTGTCAGCACCAATTCAGAGATGATTTGAGGCTCTACAGCTGAGTGATACACAAATAAGATACATTTTTGTTAATAGTTAAATGAGAATTATGAGGCAAGTGATTTTCACTCAGCCTCATAATCTGAGCCGACCTGTGACAATGAAACTGTAACAGGTCGGCTCAGTAGATCGGGAAGTGAGTGAACACATACCGTCCCTCGCTCACTTCTCGGTCTATCCCTGCAGAGAGCTGTGACTGTCACTCACGGCTCCCTGCAGGGATTCCCCCTTCCTTGTCCGATCTTCCAGCGCTAGTTTGTGTCCTCCCATTACCCTTAGGAGAACTATGGGGAAAAGCCCTGACCCCATAGTTCTCCTTTAAGGTACTTGCATGCATTGTAAAGGTTTAACTCCTGAGTCACTTTAAAGGCGATTTAAGCTGCAGCAGCCAAGATGCATAATCCAGCCACAGCATCTTTCTAGATACACTATATTTCTATCAAAAGTGGTTCAGAGTTATTAAGGCTGAACTCAGATATAAAGCTCTGTACTATCATTAAATCACATCAATATATTTATTTTTAAATGCAAGCAGTGTAGTGACCTACATTTTACCTGGTATTACCCAACTGCAGTCCTTGTGTAGCAGAACACAGACTGGGAGAGGAGGAACAAGTACAAGGAGCCAGTAAGCCTGCAGCTGTAATGTGCTAACAAAGAGCATGCTGATAGGAGAAGAGAGCAAAATGGAGGAGAGATGAGATCAGTCTTCTGCTTCTTCTTTTACTGTCCACTTACAGGCTGGAAGAGCAACCTGTATATGTTGCTTAACTGCAGCAGAGTAAAATCAGGTCCCCTGACCTGCCAGAGAGGACCATGCTTTAATTTTGTGTAGATTTCGGACTAGATAGATAATACAAATATCTTGCCTGTAAAAACTTTAACAATACATAACTATACAACGTGTAAACAAACCATTTGATAGACTATCTCATACAGTCCAATAATAGATAATTATACAAAGTGTAAACAAACCATTTGATAAACTATCTCATACAGTCCAATAATAATAGGTAACTATACAAAGTGTAAAAAAAAACATTTCATATACTATCTCATACAGTCCAATAATAATTTACATGTATATCAATGATCTATTCTTTTGAAGCCATTTTGTAATGTAAAATACTTTATACTGAGAGGGAATGTCCTATTATAAATGGTATCCATGGATTCCAGCAGCTCAGGACAACTCATACATTTCAGTCTTAATGAGACTGAGCTTAAAAATTCCAAACTTACCATCACCATCTTCTCCATATGCTAGGAATGGGGGGACTGTGATTATACGTCTTTCACCAACGCACATTCCCAGAAGACCAGTATCCATTCCAGGTATCAGCCATCCAATCCCTATGTAGGTGTCATACGTCTTCATACGGTTATGGCTGAATGAAAAAGAAACAAATGCTGTCATAATATACAATCTGTGTCACACAGCTGACTCGGTTGTACTTTATACCTGGTAAACACTTTTAATTTGCATTAACCATATACAGTTTTAAACAAACAATATTTATCCTGCAACAAATTCTCTAATTTCTTGTAGGGACCATTTTAAAGTGTATTTCCAGTCAAATTTGAGAAGCCTCCACTATATGTCTGTTATAAGTGGGGACAGTACGCCCTTATTAACATACAAAACAGAATCCAGGCCTTGAGACCTTTAACCCTTTTTTGGGACAGACAGTGTTAAAATCTAGTTTACAACCGAAAATGAGATCTGCCAGCACAGACAGGGTTAAATATGGTAAACATTGACTCCACAGCCCCCTCCATAATATTACATAGGGGGGGAGAAGTAGGCAGGATTTTTAGGTAAGTAAAAGGAACATGTAACAAATATATAAAACGTGTTATCCCAATTTGCCTGTAAAAGTGGAAATACACACATACATTTACTATATGTTAACTGACCACCAAAAAAATCTTCTATACATATGATCTTAATGTAAACATGCATATTCAGATTACTGGGACTTGCATACTTAGGTTTAAGTAGGAAGAGAACTGTGCTAACGAAATCAGCAATCGGATTTGTACCCAATGATGTAGTGCCCTGCTGTACATACGTAGTTGTTACCAGATCTAAATAAGATTGTACAATCAGAGTGTAATTCCTATGTAATATGTATGGCCGACTTTAAAGTTAGGTTGATCTTGGACTCTAGATGGCATTTGGACATTAGGAAGCAATCCAACCTCCAAAAGACCATTCGGTCTACCCTAGCAATTACATACACATACATGGTGGTATCGTCAGGCATAAAAGGCAGAGTTCTATTACATATTTCTTTATAACCAAAATGTGAAAGATAGGTCAGCAGATGAAAACATCTAATTTAATATGCCTGCCCTCAGCTTTGCTGGCCTGCAAATATCTATTCTTACTTGTATGTCCCCAAAGACAGCTTGTATAAACTATAGTTGGCTTGGAATGATTAGTACAACTCATTTTGCATATTTTGTTTTTAGTTTATTTGTATTACTTTAACACTTATATGTCCTTTGTATTAAATATATAGGAATGTACTTTATTTTAATGTGTTGTTCAGAATTGTTACATGTCATGGGGGTTAGGGCTTTTCCCCATAGTTCTCCTAAGGGTAACGGGAGGACACAAACTAGCGTCCTCCCATCACCCTAAGCTCAGTATAGCTACAGCTCGCGGTATACTAAGACGCCGCAGCCGAAACGGATCCCGACAATTATGTCTGGATCCGCCCAGCTGCGTGAGTGACAGCTGGCTCTGCCTATCTAGAGGCAGAGACAGCTGTACCCGTACCCGCCCCCTCCCACGTTCATCAGCACTAGATCGGAGCGGGGAGGGGGGAATCCAGTCCCTCCCCTGTCACGGCAGAGAACCGTGACATGATCGAGAAGTGAGCGAACGCCGGTATGTGTTCGCTCACCTCCCGACCTACTGAGCCGACCTGTGACAGTTTCATTTACACAGGTCGGCTAGAACTATGAGGTGAGTGAAAAGCACTCACCTCATAGTTCTCCTTTAATGAATTAATGCATATGGCATGTGTATGGCAATCTGATCTGTGGTGGGCTGTTTCTTTTAGTATAGCAACATTTCAAGGGCGAACTGAGGAGAATAGGAATAGAAAATGCAGTGCAACTTCCTGTTTATGCCTCTGATGAAGTCTATGTGACGAAACGTATAGGGCGAGACTAATAGAGTATATGTTATCTTGTGAGCCCCGCATACCAGAGGGGTTGCACTGAAAGCAGGTCCGTGGTGCGTGGCACCGGTTTTGGACAGGAGCCAGGGAATTGACATGGTTGTATGATTTATATACTGGTACACATGGTGCTCTGTGTACATTTACAATGTGAGTTTCATACTGCTGTTTTACTGAATCTTTTTAATAAATGCAATTACACTACGGGCATTAGGGAATGTACTTATAACTGGAAGTACTGGGAGCTTAAAAGATTTATGTTGTAGTCCTGTGAATGTCATCCAGGTCTTGTGACCAGAGGTCCAGCATGGTGGTGGAGTGTAAAGCACTAAGAAGGAAACATTTATATCACACATGTGAATATGTAATATGCACACTGGTGAGGCCGGTAAAAATGGAGATTCACACCATATGAGGACCATACTTTTTTGTAATTTCTCACTCAATTGGAGTAGTATTTTGTATATGTGTAAGTGTTCTATTTAAGTTTCCCTTTTGTTTTCAGCACATTTCGGTGTGCTGTTTGATTTTAATTAGGGATGTTCAGATACCAAGAAGCATGTTCGGTATCCTAGACTAGACTAGAGAAAAATTCAAAAGTTAGGAGGCAGCTGTAATTTTTAAGGACTATACAGAGCTCCTGGAGTTTGTGCATCCCTGTTTTAATGTTTGATGTTTTTTTATACATATATATTTGGGATGCACTAATACCATTTTTGCAAGTACAAGTACTGACACTTGTCAAGTACTCACAGATACAAGTACTGATATATTTTTGTTTATTGTCATGTGACAGTTTTTCTAAAACAATACAGAGTAATGATTTCAGAACCGTGGTGGAGCACCAGGTCCCAGCTGCAACCTCTGCAACCCTGCTAGCTCTTGTGAAAATGCCAACTATCGGCATTGGTATATGAACTGGTATCTGAACATCCCTAATTTTAATGTATCTTTAAAAATACATACCTGGAATCAAAAAGTGTCCCGTCTAATAATGTCCCATTGTAATGATAACGAATGAAATCGGAGACTTGTACTGTGCGGGAGCAAATTTCTGGTTTATAATACGTTTCTGTTTGGACTTTGTCGTCAGGATTCCAGATGTCTAACAAAAGGACATCAAAGTGTATAATGGCATCTGGAGGAATGACACCAGCTGTGAAAAAGAAAGACAATGAAATGAAATCTCCATAGAGCAAATATAAGCAAAGTAGGCAGGGAGAAATAAAAAGAGGAAACTCCTATACTCAGCTGTTTGTGTGTAACTGAGGTTTGAGCTATTGGGCTCTGTAAACAGCAGGCTTTTTTTCCAGCAAAGTACATACAATTTGCCTAGAGAATTTAGGAAAGTACTATAAGCTTCAAATAATTTCTGATTTTAAGAACACTGCCAGAAATATGCATGTGAAACATCTCTGAGTAAGTCTATCTCTCAGTACAGTCACTGCATCTCGGCATACCATAATATACCAACTAGCAAAAATATAGCTGTAATGAAGCAATTGGAACTCTCCTTGCTGTGTTACTGTTAGTGGGGCTGCCTTACTTGGATGGAGATTTGGGCACAAAGACCTAAAGCCCCACTCCAAGCAGCAGTATAATTTACATTTGCAGTGCCCAACCTACAAGGGTTAAATGATCATTTACCCAAGGGGTAGGTAAATAAGCTGTAATAAATACCATACTCCTCACTCCTGCAGGCTTCCACTTAGCTGCAAGACTGAACACCACATTCCATTGGCGCTCAACAGGTCTAAAGCTTTCAATGTCATTGCATACAATGCAGGACCAGCAGTTCTGCATTGCACTATACGACTATAAGGACCCCCCCTCCTACTGGGAGGATCGGAGATAGCTGGCTGACAAGGGAGTGAGAAATAAGGTATTACTACTTTCATCTACCGCTATGCTAAAAAGAGTATTTTAACAGTGGAGGAAGGGGGCGCTGGGATCACTGCAAGGGTAATTTTTATAATAAGTCATCTGAAGTCACTGTTTGGGTATTCTGACAGCTGCAGGCACTGGCTATTAGTGATGAGCCGAACACCCCCGTGTTCGGTTCTAACTCGAACTTTCGAACATGGAAAAAGTTCTAACTCGAACTTAGAACTCAATGCAAGTCTATGGGGGTAGAACTCAGAAATTTAAATGTTCCCATTTTGAAGCCTTATATGCAATTTATTGGCCATAAAAAGTGTATGGGGATCCGGGTACTGCCCTGGGGGACATGTATCAATGAAAAAAACACTTTTAAAAAATACAATTTTTAAAGGAGCAGTGATTTAACATCACTTAAAATGAAACATTAAAAATTAAAAATTCCTTTAAATATGGTGCC